TTAATTGCTGAAAATCGCTATGAATTAAGAGATTATGTTAATAAAGTTCCTCAAATGTTAATGGAATCAAAGGAAGAGAGGTGATAAAAGATACCTAGTACTAGTTAATAAGCAATAAAAACAGAACAAATTCATAATTTTAATGTGCTAGTTAATCCTTTTAAACAAGCTAATTTAATTGCCAACAACAAATGCCTGTGTGCCTGATACAGCCTGCCCTCAGTCCTGCCTCCATTGCGGATTTTGAGAATTTACGTTCTATTTGTGTAGAGAAGTAGGGCAACCCACAGAACAAAAGATGAGCAACTATGTTAATTTAAAAAGTCTTACTTTATAAGACTAGAAATGAAAAAGCTGTTAACATTTGAATTTTAGGAAATAATACTAATTTGCCTATCAATATTTCCTATTACAAAATATCAGATATTACCTACTACAGACCTGTTTCTGTTTTGGACACTGATGACAAGTATACCAGACAAAGGTCTCTGTTCTCATAAACTTTACCCTATAGTGGAGTCAGAAAAAAAATATTTTCAAGTAGTATTAAATATTCTAAAAAAACAAAACAGACTACTGTGGAAGAGAGTGACCACAGAATGGTTAGGGAAGGTCTTTGTAAGGCACAGAGACATGAATCATTAGATAAAGCCAGTCATTCAGACACCAGAGGAAAGAGTTTTCTAAGTAAAACAAAGACATGTTGTGAAGAATAGATACAAGGTCAGTATACATGAGATTAGAAAGGCAGCTCATGTTGGCTTTGTCGTCCAAAGTAAGCAGATTAAATTTTACCTAAAGTACAAGAAGAAGGATAGGGAACTGTTAAACAGGGAAGTGATTTAACATGATTTGTGCTTTAGTGGTCTCACTCTGTACTCTAGTTGCTAGATAGAGAATGGACTGTAGAGAGGAAAACATGGAAGCAATGGAAAACAGTTGGTAGTCCAGGAGAGAGATAATGACTCTCAGGACAAGTGTGCCACTGACAAGTGGGTGGATTCAAAACAGGGTTTAAAGCTGACAGGAATTAACCCTAGTTTTAAGGACCCATCTTTATGTTCCATGCCTTTATAAGTTCTTTCATGTGGTGAGAGTTTATTTTTCTTCTATGCAGAATCATAGACTCTTACAGCTGGAAGGGACTTTCTTGTCGGTTGTTAAGTGCTATTGAGTCAGTTCCAATTCACAGTGATCCTGTACAGGGTTTCTGAGGAGCGGCTGGTGAGCTTGAACTGCCAACCTTGTGGTTCAAACCAACCTTGCAGTCCACCGTATTAACCCACAGTGCCACACCAGTACTTCAAAGATATTTAATTTCCTACCTGGGGTCCTGATGCGACACTGCAGGTCAACGTGATGGACTGCAAGGTGGGTTTGAACTTCAAGGTCAGAGAGGTTCAAGCTCACCAGCCGCTCTTTGGAAACCCTATATAGGGTCTCTATGAGTTGGAACCAACTTGACAGCACTTAACAACATTAACAATACCCTACCTGTCCTGTAACTCAGAGAGATGGTCATTAGACTTCTATTTACAGGCATGTACATTTTTTTTTTTTTTGTATAGGTATACACTACATTTTTGTATAGGTATAATTATTAGAAAGTTTATTGTTATATTGAACTAAAATTTTCTGCCTTCACATTCCATCCATTTAGAAAATAAGTGTATATTCTGTGCTAATTATGTAGCAGGTGCTGTGACAGCCTGGCGACTAGATGGTGTCAAAGATGTTAGGTAAGGGACTCTGTTGTTGTTGTTAAGTTTTCTCCAGGCAGTTTCTACTCACAGCAGCCATGTTAGGGTTCCCAAGGAACAGGTGGTGGGTTTGAACTGCCCACCTTGCAGTTAATAGTTCAATGATTATCCTACAGTGCCATATTAGGACTAGGTGATACAAATATTCATGACCTGGTGGAGCTCATTGTTTCTCAGAATAAGGAAATGAAAAATGCAATTAAACAAATAAATTATTTAAATTTTATTTTAGAATTTGTTGTTGTTTTTAGGTGCCATCAGGTCAGTACCGACTCATAGTGACCCTAGGCACAACAGAACAAAACACTGCCTGATCCTGGGCCAAACTCACAATTGTTGCCACACTTGAGCCCATTGATGCTGTCACTTTGTCACTGTATCTCACTGGGGGTCTTCCTCTTTTTCTCTGACTCTCCACCTTATCAAACATGATATCCTTCTCCAGCGACTGTCCCTCCTGACAATATGTCCAAAGTATGAGAGACGAAGTTTGGCCATCTTGACCTCTATGGAGCACTCTGGCTGCACTTCTTCCAAAATGGATCTATTGGTTCTTTTGGCAGCCCATGGCACTTTCAATATTCTCCTCCAACACCATAACTCGAAAGCATCAATTATTCGATGGTCTTCCCTATTTACTGTCCAGCAGTCTTGTGCATCTGAGGTTATTGAAAATACCATGGCTTGGGTCAGGCGCACTTTAGTCCTCAAGTTGATGTCTTTGCTCTTCAACACTTAAAAAAGGTCTTGTGCAGTAGACTTGCCTAATGCAATACATCATTTGATCTATTGACTCCTGCTTCCATGAGTGTTGATAATTGATCCAAGAAGAATGAAGTCCTTGACAACTTCAATCTTTTCTCCATTGATAAGAATGTTGTTTATTGGTCCAGTGGTGAGGATTTTTGTTTTCTTTGCATTGAGATGTAATCCATACTGAAGGTTGTGCTCTTTGATCTTCATCAACAAATACTTTAAGTCCTCTTCACTTTCAGCAAGCAAGGTTGTATCAGCTGCATATCTCAGATTGTTAATGAGTCTTTCTCCAGTCTTGATGCCACGTTTTTCTTCATATAACTCAGCTTTTCAGATTATTTGCTCAGCATACAGGTTGAATCAGTATGGTAAAAGAATACAACCCTGGTGCACATCTTTCTTAATTTTAAACCATTCAGTGTTCCCATGTTCTGTTCAAACAACTGTCTCTTGATCCATGTACAGATTCTTCATGAGCACAATTAAGTGTTCCAGAATAATCACACTTCGCAATGTTGTCCATAGGTTGTCATAATTCACACAATCAAAAGCCTCTGTCATAGTCAATAAAGCACAAATAAACATCTTTCTGGTATTCTCTGCTTTGAGCCAAGATCCATTGGACATCAGCAATAATATCCCCCATTCAAGTTCTCTTCTGAATCCAGTTTGAACCTCTGGAAGTTCACTGTCAATATCTGCTTGTAGCTGTTTCTGTATTACCTTTAGTAAAACTTTACTCACATGGGATATCAAAGATACTGTCTGATGATTTCCGCATTTCATTGAGTCACCTCTCTTTGGAATGCAAATACAGATCTCTTCCAATCAGTTGGCCAGATATTTGTCTTCCAAATTCCTTGGCATAGGTGAGTGAGTGCCTCCAGTGCTGCCTCACTTTGTTACAATATTTCAATTTGTATTCCATCAATTCCTGGTGCCTTTTCCTTCAATGCAACTTGGACTTTTTCCTTCAGTATCATTGGCTCTTGATCATATGCTACCCTTGAAATGGCTGAACATCGGCATTTCCTTTTGGTACAGTGACTCTGTGTATTCCTTCCATTTTCTTTTGATGCTTTCTGTATCATTCAATAATTTGCCCAGAGAATCCTTCAATAATGAAAGTTGAGGCTTGAATTTTTTCTTCAGTTCCCTCAGCTTGAGAAATGCTGAGCGTGTTCTTCCCTTTTGGTTTTCTAACGCCAGATCTTTGTACATTTTGTTATAATATTTGACTTTGTCTTCTTGAGGTTACCTTTGAAATTTTATGTTCAGCTCTTGTACCTCCTCATTTCTTCCATTTGCTTTAGCATCTGTACGCTGGAAAGCAAGTTTCAGTGTCTCTTCTGACATCTGTTTTGATCTTTTCCTTCTTTCTTGTCTTCTTAACGACTTTTTGCTCTCTTCTTGTATGATGTGCCTTCAGGCTAAGATTTATGGACTAGTGTGTCCTGTGGGCATTTATCAGCAGCCTGGAAAAGTATTGTTAGCATTACTAGAGTAAAGAGAGGCCTGCCTGGGAGCATGGTTGAGGAGAGGCTGTCTTGACTGAAAGAACAGAGCCCTGTGCATTTTCTGGTGGTGATTATAACCTGTTAACTTCCCCAATGAACCCCTTATAACTGTGAGCATTGTCTCTGAATTCTGTATGGCTATTGCAACAAAATTTCAAAACCAGTTGAGTAGAGGGGGCTGCGGGAAAAATGGTGCCACATGTTATTTTTTGCAAGGACATATCATTAAACAGTAACAGCAAAAGCAGATAAAACACCTGGAATTGCATTACTTACTTTTTCCAAGATAATTAATATAACTACAACTTACTACTTCTGAATCTCAAGCATATCTTTAAGTGAGTAGCAAAAATGTCAGCTGTCATAATGCAGTTTCATTTCCTGTTAATCAAGACTTTACTGCTATCTTTAGGTCTTTTTCTTGGGGCACTTCTATTCTTGGTTTTAATCACTCATTCTATTTCATGCCTGCTGTGAGTGTACAGCTACTGCTTTAGCTGAAGAACTAGAATCCCAGAAATGTGGCCAATGAGGCTAATATAAGCTAGTCAGGTGTCGAAAGTACTGTGTACATTTTGCCCATTCTCTTACCACTAATATTTCCAATTGGCTGCAATATAAACTAGTGATTTGCTTGTTTTGCTCCAGTGCTGACAGAACATAAAGGGTACACCCAAAATAACTTGGCCTCTTAAATGACTTTGCCTCCTTACTGAAGCAAATATTCCATTTCATACCAGTGATCCAGCAAGCATATGACTGGCAGATTCTTAAACATGCTTAGAGCTCATCAGGCCTCGCTGCAATGTACCATATAAGCTGGTTCTACTTCCTGACAACCGTCATCATTTTAGTTTTATTCCTCAAATGTCTGAGACATAATAGTGAACAAATAAGACACGGTCCTTGCTGTAACTTATAGTCTAGTAACAAATGATATTATAATCATAAATTAAGCTAAACTTACCGGTTCACCTCTAAAACCCTTTTCACCTCTGGGTCCCTAAAAGAAAAGGAAAGAAAATGTTCGGTATAGTTGAGGTAGTACACAGAAGCATGACAATTTGTTTTTGTGTCTTTTATAGTTTTCAAGACTTTTTTTGGTTAATTAATTTAAATTCTAGTTTTTCTTAAGTACAGAAAAGTCCTGCTGTGTTGCCATAGTGTAATCCCTGGATTGCTAACCACAGTGTTGATGGCTCAAACCTACCATCCTCTCCTCAAAAACGCTATACAGGGTCACTATGAATCAGAACAGACCCAATGGCACTTATAGCTTAAAGCAAAGCAACACAAAAACATTTTATCAATTCATTGTCTTGTTTCTTTTACTTTGCTATGTCTACCTACTTAGTCAAGGAGCTCTGGTAGCGTAGTGGTTACGAATGGGCTTGTGAACCGCAAGGTCAGCAGTCTGAAACTACCAGCTGTTCCACGGGAGAAAGATGAGGCGTTCTGCTCCCGTAAAGATTTACAGCCTTGGAAACCCTGTGCAGGGTCACTGTGAGTTGGAACCGACTCCACGGCACTTAACAACAACAACCTACTTAGTCATTTAGTGACCTCAAAACAGCTGATGTGCCTATTACATACACTTTAGAAAGGAAATTAATAGGCTAAATAGTTTTAATATTTGCTTTCTTCAGTTCTTGAAAATCACAGCAACTCACAAGCCACCACAGTACGACAACTGATGGACGAGTGGTGGTGATAACAACTGGCCTCCTGAAACTATGTTGGAATTTATACTTATATCGGCAGTATATGAGTATTTATATTTCTTCAGCTATATGCCATATACTATACTTTGTCAATCTTCCAAGCTAAAAATATTAACACTTAAGAGTCAAAGAATGGCAATACATAGATAGCATGTATGAACACAAATCTTGCAAAGTATCCTTCATGTTTTGGCGTTTACATTTCTATGGAATACATTCCTCAAAGTGGAAACACTTGGTTACAGGGTTATTGTGTGCCAATGAGTAGATTTTGACTCATAGCAACCCTATAGGACAGAGGAGAACTGTATCACAGGGTTTCCTAGGTGGAAATCTTTATGGGAGCAGATTGTCAGATCTTTTCTCTATTGGATTAGCTGGTGGATTCAAATCACTCATCTTTCCTTTAGCAGCCATGTGTTTAACCATTCTGTAACCAGGACTCCTGCTTAAAGGGTCTATGCAGTTATATTATCAACAAACACCTTTCTAAAATGACTATAATTTACATTTCCACCCATGATAAATGAGAATAGTGTTTTATCACATTTCAGTAATTTACTTTAATTAGCATTTCTCTGACTAAAGATTGGTGGTTCTACTACTTTTTAAACATGTATTAGTATTTTCATGTTGATCCTTGTAGAAATTATATGCATATTTTTAGTATAAAAAAAGAAATAATACTGTTAATCTTTTCTGTAACCTGAGCTATCCATTCACAATATAATAGGAATCTTCTCCCATGTCAATCCACATTCCTCTAAATACAATCATAGAATTATTGATATTTTTGAGTTTATTTTTCTATAAATTACCTATTCAGATCATTTACCCATTTTTCTATTGAGTTTTATTTTGTCACATGAATTTTTAAGAGCTCTTTATATATTAATCTGTTATATGTTATAGGCTTTGCAAACATTTCCCTAAACTATATTAATGTCTTGTCTTTACTTACAATGGTGTGGTGCTATAGAATAAGCACTTGACCACAAGGTTGGTTTGAACCACAAGGTCGGTAGTTCAAACTCACCTGCTGCTCCTTGGAAACCCTATTCAGGGTCACTATGATTTGGAACTGACTCAATGGCACTTAACAACAACAACCAAAAAAAAACCTGAGAGTTTAATTGACAATTTCTTCAACTGTTAAGGTACAAATCAGTTTTCTAGATTGTTTGTTTTCCTAAATTATTGATAAGTGCTACGAAGTCAGTACCTAGCGACCTTGTATAGCATTTCCAAGAAGTGGCTGGTGGGTTTGAACTGATAGCTTTATGGGTAGGAGTCCCCTGCTTATCCTACAGTGCCACACTAGGATTCAAATTAATTCCATTTCCCTTCTCTGAAACTGGCTTAGGGATAGGCATGGGGCTGAATGTTAGTTAGTAAGACATAAGAAATGCAACAGGAGATTTCTACAAAAAAATTTTGTTTTTCTCAAGATAAAGCCATCGATAACATTTTCCCTTGGATAATATTTATGTCTGGATGTGATCCTGAACAATTGTAGTCATATTGTGGACTGATTGTATACTCAACATTCAGAATTACAGCATGATGACTCTAATTCAGGATGGCAGAGTACAGAGGCATGTGAAAGCCCCTTCCTATGACTGTGCTTCGCTAATAAATTTGATTGTCAAAGCTGGTTTGATTCAGAATTCCTATTACTTGCATTTCAAATAATTCTAACTGATTTATCAATTTTGTTATTAATAAATTCCTACATATCCTGAGATCTATTTCTGGGTTCTAGTGTGTTCCATTGATCTATTTGTTTATTTATTTATACTACCATAAAGTTTACTCATGATAAATTTATAACATGTTTTCTTCTTTGGAAAAGCAACATTCCTTAGCTCTCTACCACTATTTTTTTTTTCAAATTGTTTTTGGCCATTCTCAAATGCTTATTTTCTCATAATGAATTTTCTTAGAAGTTTCTTTTTAGACTGTTAAAATAGAAAATGGAAAAATTTGATGTGTAGATTAAATATTATGAGGAACTTAAAAAACTATCTAAAAACAAAATAACATGGTATTTTAACTGAGATATTTATTTAATGTAATTTCCTTGACTAGTTAATAGTTAACATTCTTCTCAGAGAAGAACAACCATTCAGTAATCAGAACAGAATGTGTTGTCAGCTTGCACATATATGCGAGAATTTTCCCACTTACAATCTCCCATAAGACTATATAAATATAAGTGCCAAATGCCGAAAGTCTAGAGAAACATCAAGTTATACATTACTTATGCTTATAATTCCAGTGACTTTGATGTTGAATTATTTTCTAAATTTGTCAAAGATAACAGTTATGCTTAATACTTTATGTATTCTAGTAAACTTTTTAAAACATTATGTTCTATAGATAAATTACTTAGACTTTATAGATAAAATACTTAAATAAATAGTTGTAAGGACTGAATGTTTTCTCTTGTGTCCCTTTTCTTGTATGTGTACACAACCTTCAGTATTGTAAACTGTCCCATGAACTCATCACCTCCCCAACCATTGTCTTACTTCTTTCTCTCTCTCTATTACTTCATAGCCATAAGCACTGGCATACATTGCATCTACTTCCTCTCTAGACCTTGCTTGAATAGAGTGGAAAGAGCTCTCCTGTTGTATAAGAAACATCAGTTACATAATTCAATAGCTGTATTACCTTGAATGACTAGATGAAACATTTTCAACCTTATCTGTTTTTCGTTTTGTTAAACAGAAATGATATCTCCTCCCAAAGTTTGTTGTGACAATTTAAGAAGTTATTATTAAAAAATGTTTAGTTTCTTTCGTCTTTACTGCAATCAGAATTCCATCTTCTACTATAATTTATTCTCTCAGAGATCACTATTGACTATTCTTTTCTTGAAACCTCATCTATCTAAAACCTTGATGTTTTTGTTTTTAAAGATATTCCCACAAATAATTTCTTTTTTGCCTTTACAGTGGGTACTTCTGAAGACTCAAATTTGCCTGTATGCTCATCTTTTACTGTGTGTTTTCCTTCAGAAAATGAATCCATTTTTATTGCTTTCATGATTGACGGCACTTAACAACAACAATGATCACTTATGTGTTTATCAGAGAGTCCTGGTGTGCCACTGTAGGATAAGCACTTGATCACAAGGTCGGTGTGAACTGCAAGGTCAGTGGTTCAAATTCACCAGCTGTTCTTAGGAAACTCCATATAGGGTTGCTATGAGTTGGAACTGACTTGCTGGCTTAACTGCAAAAATAACAACATGTGCGTTTGACATTGTTCAGTTATGAGTTGGGAGGATTCTTGTTTTCTTTGCACTGAGGTACAACCCATACTGAAGGCTGTAGTCTTTGAACCTCATCAGTAAGTACTTCAAGTACTCTTTGCTTTTAGCAAGCAAGGTTGTGCCATCTGCATTTTGCAGGTTGTTGATGAGTTTTCCTCCAATCCTAATGTCATGTTCTTCATATAATTTCAATTTCTCATATTATTTGAATAATAGATTTGAATTATTTGAATAATTCATATAGATTGAATAATTATGGTAAAATGATTCAACCTTGGCATACAGTGTTCCTGATTTTAGATATTTCAGTATCCTCTTGTTCTGTTTAAACAACTGCCTCTTGGTCTATGTACAGGTTCCTCATGAGCATAATTAAGTGTTCTGGAATACCTATTTGCAGTGTTATCCATAGTTTGCTATGACTCACACAATGCTTTTACATAGTCAATAAAGCATCTGTCTGGTATTCTCTGCTTTCAGTCAAGATCTATCTGGCTTGAATTTCTGGCAGATTTCTGTCGATATCCGGTTGTTGTAACTGGTTTTGAATTATTTTCAGCAAAATTTTACTTGCATATGATATTAATGATAATTTTATCATTTCTGAATTCAACTGGGTGGTCTTTCTTTGCAATGGGCACAGATATGCATCTCTTCTAATCAGCTGACCAGGTTGCTCTGTCTGCTGAATTTCTTAGCATAGACAATTGAGTGCCTCCAGTACTGCATCAGTTTGCTGAAACATTTCATTTGGTATTCTGCCAATTCCTGGACTATTGTTTTTTGCCAGTTTCTTCAATACAGCTTGAACTTCTTTTAATGCTATCAGTTCTTGATCACACAGCACCTCGTGAAATGATTGAATATTGAACAATTATTTTTGGAACACTGATTCTGTGTATTCCTTCCATCTTCTTTTGAGGCTTCCTGTATTCGATATTTTGCCCATAGAATCCTTCAGTACTGCAAATCAAAACTTCAATTTTTTCTTTTAGCTTGAGAAATGCTGAACATTTTTTTACCTTTTGGTTTCCTAACTTCAGGTCTTTGCACATTTCATTATAATATTTGAGTTTGTCATATGGGGTTGCCCTTAGAAATTTTATGTTGAGCTCTTTTACTTCATTTCTTCCTGTTGCTTTAGCTTCTCTACACTCACGAGCAGGTTTCAGAATTTCTTCTGACATCTGTTTTTTTCTTTCCTGTATTTTTAATGACCTTTTGCTTTCTTTATGCACGATGTTCTTTTTGTCATCCTACAACTCCTCTAGTCTTTGGTCATTTGTGTCTAATGCATCAAATCTGTACTTGATATGGTCTATAAACTCTGGTGGAATACACTCAAGGTCATATTTAAGCTTTTTTGAACTTTTATTCATTTTCTTCAGTTTTGGCCTGAACTTGCATTTGAGAAATTGACTGTGTTTTCCACATTTGGCTCCTGACCTTATTTTAGCTGATGATATGGAGCTTTGTCATTATTTCTTCACGCAGATGTAGTCAATTTGATTCCTGTGTATTCCATTTGGTGAGGTGCATGTGCACACTTGCCTTTTATGTTGTTGAAAAAGAGGAATTTGCAATGAATAAGTTCTTGGTCATGGAAAGTTCTATCATGTGATCTCCAACATTGGTTCTATCACCAAAGTCATATTTTCCAACTACTGATCCTTCTCTCTTTGTTTTCAACTTTTATACTCCAATCACCAGTAATTATAAATGCATCTTGACTGTACATTTGATCAATTTCAGACTGATGATGTTGGTAGAATTCTACAATTTCATCATCACTGGTTTTAGTAGTTGGTGCATAAATTGAATAATGGTATTAACTGGTCTTCCTTGTTGTTGTTAAGTGCCATCAAGTTGGTTCCAACTCATAGTGACCCTGTATAGGATTTCCAAGGAGTGGCTGGTGGGTTTGAACCTCCTACCTTATGATTAGCAGTCCAGTGCTTATCTTACAGCACCACATCAAGACCCCAGTCTTCCTTATAGGTATATGGATATTATTCTATCACACATAGCAATATACTTCAAGATAGATGATTAATGAGATGACATTCCACTTCAATTTGTCATCCCAGGCATAGTAAATCATAAGATTATCTGATTCAAAATGGTCAATACCTTTTCATTTTAGGTCACTAATACTTAGGATAGCTGTCATTTTGTGGTATATTTTATTTTTGACAACTTCCAATTTTCCTAGATTCATTCATACTTTGCACATTTCATATTCTGATGATTAATAACTATCTGCAGCTGTTTCTCCTCATTTTGAGTTGTATTCATCAGCAAATGAAGGTCTCAAAATCTTTGCTCACTCTATGTCATTAAGATAATTCTACTTTAAGGAGGAGCTCTTCCCCATTTTTGTTTTGAGTAATTTCCACCTGAGAGACTCATCTTCTGGCACTATATGAGACAATATTTCACTGTTATTCATTAAGGTTTCTAGCGGCTACCCATTAAAAAGAATATCCTTCCTAATCTGTCTTAGTCTGGAAACTCCACTGAAACCTGTCTACCATGGGTTACTCTACTGGTATTTAAAATACTGGTGGCATAGTTTCTAGTATTAAAGCAACACACAAGCCACCATAGTATGACAAACAGACAGACCTATGTGCTTATGATGCTTAAAGACCTCTGTTCCATTTTTTTGCCTCCACTCTAGTTTTAAGTACCCATTTCTCCTTTCCATATGTCTTCTTTATTATACATATGATTTCTAAGCATGAAGGAATCACCTTTTAAGAAAAAAAGTAAATCTATTTTTAATACCCAGGCTGATCCACTTTGAATTATTCTATAAGTAGGATTAAAGAAAACAATAAGTATGAAAAAAAAATGGAGTTTTATTGTGACTAACTTACAGTTCTACCTGTTGGACCTATTATACCTTCTCTGCCAATGGGGCCAGTGTTTCCCTGTTGGAGCAAAAGAAAAAGCAGCAGTTAGTATCAGTTCTAGTATAATTCAAAACAACTTCAGAGAATTTTTTGTGCTATGGGAAAACAACATACATCTCTAAAATCATAGTTTTTTTATTATAAAATCTTATAGCATTAGTACAGATAGCAATAATTTTAATTCACACTCAGTGCCACAATTCTGCATACGATTAGCACTAACAGACTGATAAATCAGCATTTTAATTTTTATATGGCGATAAGTTCAATGGTGTCATTTTATATATGTGACATTACACAACAAATGGAATGATGTTATATAAAACAGGACCAGGTAGAATGATGAAGTAATTGGTGATTGGTTTCTTTAGAGATGTTGAGTGAGCAGATGTTTGAGTTATATGTAGCACTGAATAGAAAGAAAGCCCGTGAGCGCTGCACTAAAGGGCATCATATGTGACAACCTGAGATTGGGTTTCTTCACCTGTAAAATAGAAATAAGAACGTCTACTTAATAGACTCATTAAATGTGAAAAGTGCTTTCTAAGCTATAAACTGCTATTTAAATATGAAAATAACTGAATAAGTAGGTCTTCTGGTCAATTCCTCCCAAACAGGAACCTAGCACTGCTCAATCACTATAAATATCCCTGAACCTTCACCCTTACTCACAATGGATGAAAATTTCAGTTGTTCTAGCTCATACTGAACCTGAAATACATAAATGTAGCTAGCTAACAGGCTTTGTTTTTTTTCTAATTCCTGAATAGGTATAGGAAATAGCAACAATTAATATAACTATATGATTTATCTATATGACCTAGATAGGATAAGAATATCTGATACTTTAAAAATATATCTAACATAATCATTTTTTAAAAAACAAAAAGATAATTTAAAAATATTGTTGTTGTTAGGTGCTGTCGAGTCAGTACTGACCCAGCAACATTTTGCACAACAGAATGAAACAGTGCCAGGTCCTGTGCCAACCTCACAATCGTTGCTATGCTTGAGCCAACTGCTGCTGCCATTGTGCCAATTCATTTTGTTGAAGGCTGTCCTCTTTTCACTGACCTTCCACTTTACTAAGCATGATGCCCTTCTCCAGAGACTGTTTCCTCCTTATAATATGTCCAAAATATGAGAGACTAAGTCTAGCCAGTCTGGCTTCTAAGAATCATTCTGGCTGTACTTCTTGTAGCACAAATTTGTTTGTTCTTTTGGTGGTCCATGGTACTTTTAATATTCTCCTCCAACACCATAACTCAAATGCATCAATTCATGTACTGTCTTCTTTATTCATTGCTCAACTTTCACATGTATATCAAGTTATTGAAAATACTATGACTTGGGTCAAGTGCACCTTAGTCTTCAAATCGACATCTTTGCTCTTGAACACTTTAAAGAGGTCTTGTGCAGCCAAACGTTTTACCAAATGCAATATATCATTTGATTGCTTGACTGCTGCTAGCCTGAGTGTTGATGGTTGATTGGAGCAAAATGAAGTCTTTGACAACTTCAAACTTTTCTCCATTTATCTTAATGTTATATATTGGTGCAGTGGTAAGGATTTTTGTTTTCTTTACATTGAGATGCAACCCATATTAAAGACTGTGGACTTTGATCTGCATCAGTAAGTATTTTAAGTCTTCTTGGCTTTCAGCAAGCAAGGTTGCATCATCTGCCTATTGCAGGTTGTTAATGAGTCTTCCTTCAAACATGATGCCACATTTTTCTTCATATAATCCAGCTTCTCAGTTAATTTGTTCAGCATACAGATTTAGTAAGTATGGTGAAAGAATACAACACTGGCACACACCTTTTCTGAGTTTAAACCATTCAGTGTTCCCTTGTTTTGTTTGAACAATTGCCTCTTGCTTGATGTACAGGGTCTCATGAGCACAATTAAGTTTTCTGGTATACTCATTCTCTGAAATGTCGTCCATAGCTTGTCATGATCCTCACAATTGAAAGCCTTTGTGTAGTCAATAAAGCACAGGTAAACAAACATCTTTCTGGCATTCTCTGCTTTCAGCCAAGATCCATATTCCTCATTCCATGTTCTCTTCTGAATCTGGCTTGACCTCTGGCAATTCACTGTCAATGTACTGTTGCAGCCATTTTTGAAATATCTTCAACAAAATTTTACTTGCAAGCAATATTAATGACACTTTCCAATGATTTCCACATTCTGCAGGGTCACTTCTCTTTGGAATGGGCACAAATATGGATCTTTTCCAATCAGCTGGCCAGGTAGCTTTCTTCCAAATTTCTTATGATATATGAGTATCATATTTGTTTATAGATTTCAATTTGTAGCCCATCAATTCCCAGAGCCTTGTTTTTTGCCAATGACTTCGGTGCATCTTGTGCTTCTTACATCAATATTATTGGCTGTTGATCAGACACTACTTCTTGAAACGGCCGAATACCGACCAATTTATTTTGGTACAAGGACTCTGTGTATTCCTTCCATCTTCTTCTTTTTTTTTACTTCCATCTTCTTTTGATGCTTTCTGCAGCATTCAATATTTCCCCCTGTTGCTGTTGTTCTTAAATGCCGTCGAGTCGGTTCCAACTCATAGCTCCCCTGTATAGAGTTCCCAAGGAGTGGCAGGTGAGCTTGGACCACTGACTTATGGTTCAAACTGACCTTGTAGTCCAGCACATTAATCCACAGTGCCACACCAGGACTCCATTTTCCCCAAAGAATCCTTCAATATTGCAAGTTGTGGCTTGATTTTTTTT